GTAACTAATGCTTTTTTATGACAAACCTGAAAAATGTGTGACTCTAGTACTGGCAAATCCAAACTACGCAGTGACTCACAGAGCTGCTGACATGACTGCTAGTATAAGACTTATAACCTGTATAAACTTTGAGTATTTTAACATTTTCCATTGTCCCTATTCAAGGAAAGACAAGAAAAGATGAAAGCTGATTTACGGCAGAAAATTGATTCCCGAGACCACAAGATGGCCGAGGTCAAATCATCTGAAATAAACTGCAATGTAAAGACCGCAACATTTAAAAAAAAAGAAAGAAAATCCTTTATTTTGATATTGCTTTGATGCCGTTACTCTCTTATGGCTATTCAGGGTAGCTTGGATGCCGAATGGCTGGAGATCAACAGTTTCTTCTCAGAGGTGATGAAAATTGTGGAGGATGCTAAAGAGAAAGCATGCCAGACTCTGGAGGACAGGTTGGTCCTGTGAGGCTCAGTAGAAGTTAGTCTGTCAGCATCGTTGAAGAACATTTTAACATCGCAAGGATTCTTTGTGCTCCTTTGGTGCATTATGTTTTAATAAAATGGATTCCCACGTGCCCTCTCTGTTATCTTTAGGAGACGGAAAGTGAAAAGAGAAGCACAAGATCTCACCCACAAGCTGCAAAGAGAAATTGATGTGCTCAAAAAAGCCACTGATGACCTAGACAACAACCCAGACTTGGAGGTGAACCTCAAGGATCTGAGATCCATCTACTGGAGCATAAATTCCCTTAAAAGAGGAAAAGTTTCATTTACAACATCTGTGCATTTTCAGTGTTATTTCTGATTCATTCAAATTAATCGTGCCTGCTGTAAGCTAACTTTTACCTTTGCACACATGCACAGCTTTCTCCTGTAACAGGCCTGAAAGAATCTGCTAACTGGAAAACTTTATGTGACAACACTTCACTCTTCTTCGGGACACTGCGAGGTACGACTTCAGCCATGATGAAGCAAATTGGCCAGGAAATAGAAAAACTCGCATCCAAAGGTAAGTCTTTTGGTCTCTCATGACTTGTATTAATTTAACTTTAGACATACTGCAGCTTACTCAAATGTGTGTTTCCACAGACCTCGAGAGGATTTCTACATTTGGAGGTGTGTATTTAAAAAAAAAAATTACAGCAGTATAAAAACAATGTTAACAGTGAGTAAAAACAGGGAACAGGTGTGCATGTCACAGTTTGCTGGGCAAGCCGTGCGTAAATTATTAAAGGACCCTTTATGCAGGCAGCTCAGATGCAAGTGAGTTTGTGATACAAACAGATACGACAAGGGTGACCATGGAAACTAAGCAAAACCTAAACTTGGAAAACTAACAGAAACAAACCAGAAGTAGAGATGCAGGGAGATTCAGGGAAACGACTTGGGAAATATACAGACGAACCAGCAACGCACACCAGAAAACACAGAGCTTATATACACAAAGAGGCAATCAGGGAATGAGAAACAGGAAGAGACACAGCTGGGGAAAATTGGAGCTGATGAGACTGACAGATATAAAAACAGAATACAATAACCTGAGACACCGACCTTCAAAATAAAACAGGAACTCACACATACAAAGAAACAGACTTTACACAGAGGGAAACACACAGGTAGGGATGACTAACACTAAACTGAAGAAGAACCGAACCAAAACCAATGAGCTAGAAACCACAACCAGAATATATTACAATAATAGAAAACAGAAAACGATGGGTCAAATGACCCAGGACCATGACAGTGCGCCAGATTTTCAAAATAAAAGCCCTGTTTTTTCATAATTTTATTTAAAGGAAAACCAATATGCTTATAAAATAATAACGACATTTTCAAAATTAGACATCAGTTTGATACAGTAAGTCTGATTTTCAGAATAAAAGCCTTTGATTTTAGTTTTAAATATGTTTTTAATTTCTAGAGTTGAATTTGTTCTTTTGCTAAAGTTAAGTAATTTCTAAGCACAATTTAGTATGCACTTCCCCAATATAGGATATTATTTTCTCATGTAATTTTCTGCGTTTGTTTAGAAAATAATGGCAAAGATCAGTTTAATATTATCCAGAATTTATTCATTATTTTTCACTTGTTATCCTGTTGATACCGACAGCTGGTGATATAGAGAAACCATATAACACAAGATTTGTTGTTTCTGAACTGGGTGGGCAACCCATCCATCTTTTTCCTAAAATTCAACAAAATGAATTTGTTGCATTTGAATATTGTGAGAATTGAAATCTAGCACAGATATTAGACAAATAACATTAAAAAACATTAACAATAAAACAAATTAAAGCCCTAGCTGGCTAAGCAACCTGTTTTATTTAGTAAGTCTTCTCTGTTACGGTGAGGTCTGGAAAGGTCAGTCTGATTGGTCTCCATCAATACTTAGTGCCATATTTTGGTGTGATGGAGCCCTTTAACAAAAATGTTGATTAAAAAAAAGGAATAAAGAGTGATTTTTATGTGTTGACCTATGTGCGATGTTTATAGATCTACTTACCACATGGTTCAGTTTTTTTAATTAAGTGTATTCTTTTGACTGTAGTGGACGTGAAGCTGGACCCGACTTCTGCACACTCAAGTCTTGTAATTTCTGATAATGGTAAAGAAGTGAGAAAAGGTGGAAAAACAGCAAAAGATCCTAATTCTCCCCAGAGGTCTGGTATATTTGGAAGTGTCCTGGGGCTCAACAGGCTGAAATCAGGGAAATCATACTGGGAGGTGGAAGTCAGCAACAAGACCGGGTGGGATTTGGGTGTGGCCAGATGTGATGCTTACCGCAAGGGGAAATTTTTAGTGACCCCTGACAAAGGTTACTGGGTTACTGCACATTGTGGAGACAAAAAATATGCAACCCGGACAATACCGCCCGTGTACCTTTCATTTAAAGTGAAACCTCGGAAAGTCGGGGTGTTTGTAGATTATGAAGAAGGGCTCGTGTCCTTTTACGATGTGACGTCTCAGTCTCACATCTACTCATTTACTGAGTGTTCGTTTGGTGGTGAGATCCTCCCGTACTTCAGTCTCCATCTGAAACCAGATGAGAAAAACAGCGATCCTTTGATTATATCTGCTATGGAAAAGCAGTAGTAATCACATGCACTGGTTTTGGAGCAGTGAATGCATCAGTTATAGGCATTATATATATTAAAGTGGGAATTTGATTGCCTGGGTTTCCATATTCTTTTCTTATAATGACAACATGAATCAATGAAGGTTCAATAAAGGCATGGGTTTTAGAATTTTCTTTTATGCACTATATAGCAATGTTTAGTAACTTCAGGTCACTGCAACAAGCCCAGGTACAGTTTACCGACGGATGGGTACAGGACCTTGAAATGCACCGT